TTAAAAAGCGAAGTGAATGAAGAAAGCACGAACAATAAATCTCATTTACTTTATTTTAAAATAAATTAAAATTTCGCCATGGTAATATAATGCAAGAAAAAATTACATTCTTTAAGACAATAAATACTACTCAAAAACTTTCCACATGGAAGAATTCATTAATTGCACACATATTTTCCTTCGGTTCTTGAAGTTTTGAATATTCAAATATTCGAATATTTATGAACATCTATACTTAAAAAGTTCATTATTCAAATATAACGAGTTGAAGATTCAGAAGTTCGAAGCTTCGAATATAATTTCTAATTTTGATGTAATAATAATAATTATATATGTTTTTTATCTTTTACTTGTTCGATATCCGACAGCGGGAGCTTCCTCGTCGCGCTCGTGCCATCCGCGAGAATTATAATAAATAATTTCGCGGCATCGGTCGCGGGAGAACGTTCGCGTTGTAAAAATACTCGCTCACGTGGGATCCTCTCGCGTGGACGGAGATATTCGAAGGAATGCATGAAGAGCGCATCTCGAACGAGACGGTGATTATTTATACGAATGCCGGAGGTGCGGCGCGCTCTGAAACCACGCGGACTTTTCGTCCGTGAATAAAAAAGACCGCTCGGTCGAAAAGGTCATTTCGAGCGGTCGAACGGGCATTAGACCATTAGAAAGTAACGCACGCGAAGGGAGAGAAATAAATAAACCGGAGAGCACCCGCGGGCGCCGCCGTATTTTTTTTTTCCTTCCATGAGAGACCACGAGGCTGGCTCGCCGCTCACGACGACGACGAGCACGAGGAAGAGAAAGAGGGGCCCGGCTAATTACGAGCATTTTCCTTTATTAAACCTGAATTCGCCTTAATTATCCCTCGTGCGCTTTAATTCGTCTTCGGCCTGTTGACCGCGTAACGTTACGCGTCTCCTCCCGTCTCGTCTCGATTCCTCCTCGTCGCGCCGCTCTTCCATTTCTTTCGTTCTTTTCCTCCCTCGTTCTTCCCCTCCTCCTACTCGTTTCGCGGAGGGAACGAGAGAAAGAGAGAGACGCAGAGACTCGCAACCGCAATTTCACGAGGCATTGACAGCACGCGGTGGGAACGAGCGTAAACTTGGGCGTAAACAACAATCTACACGCGAAGTACATAAACCACTTTACAAGTAATCTAAAATGCGTACGTGAATGTGTGTGCGTGCGTGTGTGCTCGAGAATGCGCGGACAAACGCGAAAACGTAGTCGCTATTTTCCATTAACTGCGTTACCTCGGAGTTTACGCTCGGTTCCGCAGTTCAGATATTCCGTATGGCGCAAAAAGAAACATTATTTACAGAAAAAAAACACTATCCGAGTCGGAAAATACCTATTCTGAGTCATTCTACTGGAGAGAGAGAGAGAGAGAGAGAGAGATCCAGGAAATTCGTTTGAAGTCTAAAAACTTTTATGACGTAAAATCTGATGAGAGCATCGTTGAAAGTCGCATCGGTTGAAATCGATTGACATTCGCTGGATTTTTCCTTTTTTCTTTCTTTCTCTTTTTTTTTTTTTTAATAGGCTTCACGTTGTGATGTGAAACTTCTCCGAACACTCCACGTGGGAGACGCCGAGGACGCGGATAGACGCGTGCAGCGCGTGGAGAAGGATTTAGAAAACACCAACGTGGCCGATCGTGCGGCCCGATACATCCAAATTTAGGACCACGACTTCCTCTCTATCTCTCCTCTCGAACGACGCGGAATGCCGCATGCCGCCCACGTGATTTAAACCCCGTTAACTCGCCCGGCGAGTTTTATTAACCCTCCATCGCCGAGGTGTACAAATGAGATATGTTTCAAACAACTCATACGCGTCTGTTTTTCCCTCTTTCGCGCTCCTGCGCGAACATCTTAACGAGCGTTAGAAGAATTCACTAAGCAGAGTGACCGCGAAGTGAAAAGATACAAATTTGTAAACAAAATTCGCGTCAGACGTTATAAACACATGAACGAACGTTAATGATACGAGTGATAACGAAAAGATCGTAAAAAACAATGTCTTGAATATCTCTGAAACGAGACGTAGAAACTCGTGCATAACTTATATTTTATTAAAAAATCCGCACGGAAAAAGAAATCTCTTTTTCCGAATTTATCTTGCGCCGTGATATTCGTCTCGTTTATCCTTACGTTGAATGACCGATATCGCGCGATCCTCTGGCCGCAGAGACCAAGATTTTCCTCGTCCTCCTAGTCATTTTATGCCGAATTTTTATATTCTCTCGTAAATATAAACCGTAACTTCGTAATCGGAGATTGATTTATCTCGTCCCGTCAGAAATATATGAGTCACGCGCGGAAAAAAAAAATCTAGCTGCATTAATCGGAAAAAGTGAGCAACTAGACGCGTTTTGTTTGAAGGAAACGGAATTTCTGGTCGTAAGAACCACACTTGAGTCATAAGAACCAGAAATTCTGTTTCCTTCAACAAAACAAAAACCCATCCGGTTGTTCACTTTCTGATTAACGCGTTAATCTTGCGTTAATCTTGCGTTTCCGATTAATGCAGCTAGACTTTTTTTTCCGCGCGTGACATATATTTCCGACGGGGCGAGATAAATCAATCTCCGATTACGAAGTAACGGTTTATATTTACGAGAGAATATAAAAATTCGGCCTAAAATGACTAGGAGGACGAGGAAAATCTTGGTCTCTGCGGCCAGAGGATCGCGCGATATCGGTCATTCAACGTAAGGATAAACGAGACGGAATATCACGGCGACTGCGGCCGAGGACGGCTCGGTGAGCGGAACTAAACGAGAACGGTACATCCTGTAATCTATCGCGGAAAAAATTTTCGTCCGCTACGATGCGCCAATCGTCTCTCCTTCTCTCTCCCTCCCGACATCTCGGCGATAACCGCAAGAGAAGAAACCGAGTACCGGACCGAGAACGACTCCCGGTAAATGGACAATAATTCTCCGCCCGCACTTTTTTCTCCCGTCAATCTTCTGCGGGAGAGACAAGCAGGTGTGTAATAAAAAAAAAAAGCATATAGAAAATTTCTTCGAACAATATCTCCCCTCGACGGAACATCATAGTTCTCCACGAGAGAACGCAGAACGGAACAAGTTTCCAACGAAGCTCCGTAATTCCGATGAGATCTGGCGCAAATTAGGACGGCGAATGGAAGCGGACGCGAAGTATCTCTCTCTCCCTCTCGCGCGCGCGGCCTTTCGCGTGATAAATACTAAGATAAAAATTCTCAGTATTTCAACAAAACGCGACAGATCCGCGAGCGGAACTCGCGCATTTCGAGTCGCAGCAACAAGTCCGGCGAGTCTCAAGGTTTTCCCCCCGGCCAAAGCGGAAGTTGGCACACACAGTGGAATGAGGTAAGACGCGAGGGAAGTGTCCCCCCCCTTCTTCCACGTTCGTGGTCACCGTTCTTGTCTCCGAACGACATTCTCCGTCATACTCGTTGCGATTTATCTTCTCATTAACCGAGGCTGCACCGCTAGAGAAACGAGACCATCGGCAACGAGAGGAGCATCGCGATGATCGCGAGCGGTATATCTCTCTCTCTTTCTCTCTCTCTCTCTCTCCTGAACCCCAAATCGCCGGTTATAACGTCGACGTTAAAGGCCGCGCCGCTCTATGCGAGCAGCGACTCGCAGCAGGCCGATTGCGATCGAACGCGAGAACGGTACATCCTGCCGCGTTCTCTCCCACTCCGTTTCTCCGTCTCTCGAAAAATGCTCGCGCCCGTTCCGTACACCATGAGCGGGATAATATCCGACCACAATGGTCGGCCCATAGAGGATCCCTGCGAGCGATAACGATAATAATTTGATGATGATGATATGATAACACGACGTATAATATGACGATAATATGATACGTGTAACAATATGATAATAACGTAACAATATCACATATAATAAGCGTATAAACAACGATGTGACGCATAACGACGAAATAACAGTGACAACTTGACGAAATTGTCAAGTGAAACATCACTTGAAATTTCGAAGTTCCGAGTTTCGCTCAGAAAGAAAATCTTTCCCGTGGAAATGTTGCTCGTTCATCCGGCGTTGTACGGCTCGCGAGATCAAACGGGCTGCGACCTCGAGTGAAAGATCGTCGGATGTGTGAATTTCTCGGGGACTTCGAAGCGGCCGTCGGACTTCGTCCCGTGATTTTACCGTCGACGCGAATTTCCGGGACACCTTATATAGAAGCGACCGATAAACCCGACGCGAACGTCACGAAGAAGACAGATCCCGAGTCATTCTCTCGAGGTAGCCGCGATGTGCACAAGACCGAACGGGATATTCGTGCCGTCGCGTTATTCCCCAGCCTCTCGGGACTCGCGATATCTAAACGCGTCAAAAAGCACGCCGTTATTTCCTCGGGGGTCAAGACACCAAGCCCTGGGAAGACCAACGCTCTCGCCGTTCGCGGCGTGAACGAACCTCGCCGAACGAGGATGAGATTCGCGTTCGACGAACGAATTAATCTTAATCGTCGGATTCATCCGTTCGATCGGTTCACAAGCGAGCGTGACACGTACGGTCAATTCGACGCTCGACCGCTGCACGTGCGATATGATAACCCCGAAGCGGCCCGAAAAACAGACCCGACCGGACCCCCGTCGGGGGCGCCCCGAGGACGGCGTTCGTGTCGCAACAAGTGTAGCCGGCTGTGGTCCTGCTGTTTTCAATGAAGTTACGCGCGCGTGTGCACGCCGTGGACGCGTCGTTGGAGACAACGCGCGAAGGCCGCTCGGGCCGAGCCCTACTCAATGGAGCCGAACGGGAATCCATCTCATGCGATGGACCGACCGCTCCTCTCGCTCGCCGACGGCCCGCGAGAGGGAAAGAGACGGGAAGAAAGGTGGAGAAAGAAGGAGACGGAGAGCAAGAGAGAAGCGCTCCTCTTCGCGGAGGAGTCCGTCGGCCGAGAGAGAGAGAGAGAGGAACGGAGATGATATCGGCCACGCTTCGCGTGCGACGTATTACGTACGGTACGTACCTTGTCGAGGCACTTGAGCTCCTCGATCGGGTAAACCGTCTTCTCGCAGCGGGCGCACGTCTTGCTCATCTTCCTCTCCGCTTCCTCGGCTACGTCCCGTAGACACTATATTCCCGTCGTGCTCACTATACCACCACTCACGGCGCGGCTGCTGCTGCTGCTCTGATCCCCGCGAGTATATCTTCGTATCCTCGCTCTGCGATCCCCGAGACACTGGGCGGTACGCGCGCGCTGCTCCCACCGTACGTGTGGCGTATGCGTGCGTAATGGACGTGGGGAACGGACGCGCGGCGACTGCACGGGTATTGCACGTGCGTACGATGTGCACTAGCGACACGTCCGAACCGGCTGCCGCTCTGGATAACCGCCCGGAACGGCGACGTCTGTCTGGAGCGTCTGTTGCTCTCTTGCCGCCGCGGAAACGCGAATGGAGAGGAAAAGGCGAGCGTATTCTCCGAGAGTGAGACTGTCGCTGGCGGCGGCGGCTACTCGCAGCCGTTTGCGTTCTCCCTTCTTCTTTTCTTTCCCTCTCTCTTTTTTTCTCTCCTTCTCTCTCTCTCTCTCTCTCTCTTTATCTATCTATCTGTCTCTTTTTCTGTCGATCGCCGAGAGTTCGTCACGGAAACACGACGGAAAAACTGCCGAGCTGCTGCACGGGCGCCAGCCGCACCAAACTACACTACCCTCTCGTCCTCGCCTGACCACAAAAAGCCGTCGAGTGACAGCGATGGTGGGGCAGCCGCCTGGTTCACGCGACGTCTCGTCGTGCGGACTACGATGACGTAGGAGAGGTCGAGGCTGTGCTCGTATATTCACTGCCAGTACTAAAAATCGGTAATTGTACGTAACACGAACTGTCAATTATCGGCACTGGCGGTGAATATACGGACACTCCAAAATGGATTTGTCGAGGGAATATGATTTTTTCGATCCGAAATCTTGGAAAGTGCAGATGCCAGCGGAGAGAGTGTGGCTCAGAGATTCTTTGGTGCAGATGCATCTGTGGTGTATACGTGCACCCACACACACCACAGACACTGTGTTTCGCGTTTTCACCGCACGAGGTCTCCAAAGTCGAATCTAGATTTGATCTTGTCTCTTGCCGGTCCTTAAGTCCGTACTAGACTACGCATTGGAGATTGGGCTTGAATTAAAATTCGACCAATCAGTGCGAAGTTCACTAAATTTCACTGTACTAGTGAAATTACTAGTTAAATTACTAAAAATCATTATATTAGGAATAAGAATAAATAATTAATCATTGAGAGTAGGAATTATTTTCACACAATAAAATGAAATGAATGGCTTTATAACACAATTTCCATATTTATATCTTAAATTTTTTTCTTCTCCATTGTGCGTTATATTTAATCACACTATTCCTAATTGTAATTTTTAATATTTAATATTTATTCCTAATATATTTCCATTGCACGGTAGGGTCACAAGTCAACCTGCTAATTAAGCAAATAACAAGAAAACGGCACACAACACAAAATTTCGTTGTCAATACGTTATTCTTCAGACATGTAAGTGCAGTCTAGCAAACTCTATTAGTTCATCCTTTTGTCGTCCTAAACTGTGTCGTTACCGTCAATGTGAAGTTCTTGGCTTCTGGCTATTAGGAACTTATGTTTCTCAACTATTCTCAGCTATTTAACAAAAAGAAATTCTTGGCTCTGGCTAATAGAAACTTGAATCCCTCGTCGTCTCACTTGTAGATATAACATGGAACAAAATTCATAAATTGTGAACATAGCACGGAACAGAACCAAAAAACTGTGGACATTGGTTTCGTAGGTCGCACACGAATAATGGATAGAGAGGCGCTTTAAGATAAAGTAATAACTTTATATTGCCATGACCGCTCTCAGGCTTTTGATAAATCATAGTAAAGAAAAGATTAGTACCTGATAATTTCACCAGATGACGTATAAGAAGCACCTCTCAAGCCAATAAACGGAATGAATGGATTAGTACTTGATAGAATTGGGCGATATCGATACATAGGGAAATAAGGATTTCTCCCAGAAAAATAGAGTTTCTTCCCGCAATTTGTAGAAGAAAATTATTATTTTAGAGGGAAACCTTATTTCCCTATGTATCGATATTGTATCAATACTATATCGCCCACCTTTAGTACTTGATAGAGTAGCCTACATCGATTGCACGTGTCTATTTGGTTTAGTGTATTATTATAAAGAATCATAGACGGTATTAATAATTAAAAAAAATATTTATGAACAAGCCAAACATCATGTTAAATATCTTTCTGTAGTACATATTTAATTTTTATTTTATCTTTGGTAATAGATTTGTTGTTATTTTTTATGGTTATTTTTATTTTGGAATAAAATCTTATGGTGATAATATACAGATGCGACACGAGTTCCTTTTGCCGCTGTTTGTGGTTAATTCCCAAACTCGTCATCAGACGGATTTTACCAGAAACGAGAGTCTCATGTTCTCGATAATTTTCGAATGTGTGGTTGATCAATTCGTTAAGAGCTTGAACTTTACTGTTTACGTTCTTCCAGGTGCCCCAATCGCTTTATGCGATCGATCTACAACCGACGTTGCTTATTGCATCATTGGTTGGTACCGATCGTTGAAAACGCGTTCAAGCTTGGACGCTAGCCCTGAAGGGATGAATACGCAAGCCTAGAGATGGCGCACTAATCCACATCTTATACTCTTCCTATACTTGATTAAAATATATCTTTCTACTAACAGAACGGACCTTTTCAATATATTTCACCGTACTAGATACTTTGCAACGTTGCAAAGTATTTCGTAGTATTTGCAAAAGTTTGCCAATGTTCCGTCTGAAAAACATCAAGTCGATTAGCTACCGCGTTGCTTCTTGTCGTACGACGAACATTGGCCACGTCTTATGTTCAAGAGCGTTAAGGGGGACACCTCGAGGAAGATATACTACCGAAATTCACGTTGACTTTTCATCAAATTCTGATTAATAATTAGCGATTAGTTAATTAATAAAATTGCTAATATGAAAAACGAAAAAATTTTGTTATTAGAAACGAGAAAAAAGTTTTCTTTTCTCCTCACAAACTACGTCTTAAATCACTATCATTCTCAGTCAAATGTTATCTTTTATTTCACTAATGGAATCATTACTTTTTCGATTACTGTTGGACGACAAACTGTACAGCTAGAAATCGATGCAATTGGTAATTTCACCAATCAGTCTTCAACAATTTTAATTCGAAATTCGGTGAAAGTCGCATCTCGAGGTAACGCGCTCGCGAATACCGACTGGCGGCAAATGTTGAGATCGCGAGCGAGAATGTCGCGAGAACCAGTCCTCACGGAAAGCACTTTTTTTCGCCGGGCCCCTCCGGCGAATCCCATCCGGCCACCCGCCTAGATCCGATCCTGGCCCCGAGAACATCAACAATCTCTCCCCTCCCCGAGCCTGCCACCCCCTAGCGGAGCCAGAAGCACCTGTTGCTCGCCTACCTGTTTTACTCGCGCGGCGGCACTGCGCGCCAGTATCAGTCGGAACGTCGCGCGGCTGGTGTTGTGTCGGGTACGAACGCGCAGCAGCAGGTTGTTCCTCCGACGTTCTCGTGGACACCCGTCGCGAGCGTACGTGATCCCTGTGCATTCCGAGCGATCGTGTCGCAAATCGGCCGGCCGAGAGGAATCTCAGCCGAGAGGAAGCTCGCGCTCGTCGCCGCGAACGCACGACTCCGGACGTCGTCGTCTCGTCACCGTCGTCGCATACACACACCGATTCGATTCCCGTGGGGCCGAGAGAGAGAGGTAACGCGAGAAGCCGATCGGCGTCGGTGCTATCCGCGACGCACTTGACGCGCGCGTGCGTGAGTGCTCCGTTCGCTACGTTTGAAAACGCCGTGATTTCGCGGCAAAAACATTGCATCCACGACCGCGGTAACGCCGATCGACGACGCTCTCGACGCTGGCTTTTCGGTTTTCGGCGCTCCGACGCGCTCCTGATTCCGCGTCCGACCGACGAAAGATCGCTGGACGTCGAGGCGCGTGAGGAAGAACGCGTCGAGGAAACGCACGGTGTAGACATGGTAAACCGGCGGCGTGACGTCGTCGTCGCGTTCTTCCTGAGTTTCGTTCGCGCGCGCGAAATTGTGCGGCTGAATTGACGACACGGCAAGAAGGAGAGAGAGAGAGAGAGAAGGATAGAGAGCGAGCGAGCGAGAGAGTGAGTGTGTATGCGTGCGTGTGCATGTATATGAAAGAAAGAACGAGAGAGAGAGAGAGAGAAAGGTAGAGAGAGGTAGAGCGAAAGCGAGTCGTAGAGGCAAGTAGCGGCAGGAACGCCGACGACCGGTCGAAGCAGCGCGAGAATATGCGCGAGAAGCGAGCCTAAGCGCGAACCATGGAGGACGCAGCAGCAACAGCAGCAACGGCAACAGCAACAACGCAGGATGCCTGCTTCGGAGCAGGCAGCGTGGCCGGAGCCGTGATCGGGACCTTTCTGACGACGCTCGTTCTGCTCGCGGTCGCGGCGCTCCTCTACAGGCAGTGGCGCAGGCATAAGGGTGAGTCTCGTTCCATCTTTTCGCTTTATTAAGGCAAAAGATCTGTTTTTTTCACTGAACTGGCTGCACTAACTCGTACTGGTCCTCTTCTTCTCTTTCTTTCAAGTCTTAACTGCATATCCGTCTCTTTTTATGTTCTATAATTAATAATATACTTTAGTTCGATGAAAAAAGTAGGCCTAAGATTGGTCGGTACGGGCTCGAATCGGATGAGAAGAACTCGACTTCAGGGTTGTACGTGGTGAACCAATAGCATCGATTCTCAAAGAATCGTTAAACTCAATTTTGACTTTCTTTTCACACAAACATTAACCCTCAAATAGCAAGGTGGTTTTCAGAGTAACGCCAAAGCGTTTTTCAAAGTATTTTACTGCAATTGTTTAAAGTCAGTTAGTAAACTTTATTGTATTTTTTCATCTATAAGTAAATGAAAGGATAAGTTTTACGTTGTTATTTACTTCCTTTAACCATTTCGTATATTAAGTGAAAAATGAACAAAACATGGGGTCGAATCCGACCCAAATCTTACCATTAGAAGGTTAAAAGAAAATGTCGCTGAAGGAATGAGAGTTGGAAAATTTTGTTGAAGGAATGAGAGTTCGAGTCGCTCGCCGAGCAGAATGTCAAAGTACTCTCGACACTCACTTCTGCTTCTTTCGACTGGCAAGATCTTGTTCAGACGTCACACAGTACATACTCTGTGAAGCAGCAAGCCAATTTTACTACTCTCGTCGAGAAATAAAAGTAAAAGAGTGGGTACGAATGCACTTTGCACTCCGGTGGCTATTATTGCGAACGTTAATTGATACCATGTTTAAATGTCTCTGTTGATTTTCACTGTACACTATAAGCAAGAGAAGATCCGACGGAACAACTCGAATCGAGTTAAATAAACTCAATTTTAGGTTTGTTTAAGGCGAACTAATTGCCTTGATTCTTCCGACATAATCTTCTCCATCACGCTCAATCTATTTGTGTAAAAAAAATTAATTTTCAAATATCTCATCATATATACAACTATATTTCAGTTTTGTCAATTTTTATTGTTGACCAAATGTTGTGATCTAAATTCCTATTCTGAGATTATCAATCTATTTTCATCGATTTGTCTCGATTGCAGTTTGTGCAACAAAATTTGCGCAAACCTGAGGCTTGGTCGATTTTTTTCACAAAATGTTTCTTTCAGTGTGCGTATTTCTCGTTGATGTCTCATAAATTCTCTTCTTAGAACGAGACGTCGGTACGAATAAAAAGGAAAAATTTACGCAATGATCCGAATAATATTGCGGAATAAAATTAGACTGCTCGATCTCAGCGTGGGATTCGTTTAAGGCCTAAACTGTTGCCACGCGTAAAATCCGGCACCTGTCGTTGCGTTTCGCGAAAGGAATTGAAAGTGATTTTATAAGTCTTGACACTTTCCACGCGAATTAGTGGTGCAACAAGTCGTGCCGTGCAAGTTTCCGCGCAAATTTGCCGAACTTTCATCGATTAATTTAAATGGTCGTTTCACAATCACTCGTTTCTAATTTTCTCAATTAGAATCAGAGGTTTTCCTCATCTAAAATCACCGAGGAAAATCATCGTAACGGAAAATGTCGTTGATAAATATTAGAGACTCTCCGCGGAAGAAATTTTTTTCATCAGGAAGCCGACATTTTTAATGGACGAAATAAAACCATCTCGCGTACGAAGATATCATATCGTTGCAAGTCCATCGTTTTTCCGTGCGATAAATTTTAATTAAAACAAAGAAAACCGCCGGACATTGTGATAACGTAATCGTAACAGTTTCTTCGCTGCACGAATACCGAAGGATAAAAATGAACATTTCTCTATCGCAAGTGTAACAGAGACGGTGTGAAAAGAATCGCGGTGTGTCTCGTTAGGATCGCGTTTCTGCAGCGGTTTGTGACAATCGTCCGCGATTTTGTCGAGATTTTTGCGTAGCCGCGGCCACGCACGTACGGTTTGGCCGGTGAAAGTAATTCAACACGTCGAATGGCATGGCAAACACCGGTATCTGCCGCGATATTTGACGCTGACGAAATACCGATGTTACACATGCCGCGCGCGCGAGTATTACCACGAGTTATATCAATTTCACGTGTCTCTCTCTCTCTTTTTCCTCACGCTCTCGCTTTCGTTCGTGATCATCACGTTTCGTCTTCGCTAATCGCGAGCACTCGCAGATTCGCGATAACGTTACTGTTCACCTAAAACGGATTCTTTGCATGATCGTAAATGAAAAAAAAAATTATAAAATCGCAAAAGTGGAAAAGCAGAAAGATGATTTTCCCCTTTTTATACAAAACTACTCGTACAAAAGACTCCATTGATGCTGTCTCACTTCCTAGGCATAGGGAATTTCCAATTAAGCGCATCATTTCTGAATATTTGTGTATTCTGTGAATTGACAACGATGTACCAAAGCAGCAGTCATAAAGCATAAATATTAAAAAGTGATGCGCCTAATTGGAAATTTCCGATGTCACTACATCTAGCGAATAGAACAGCATTGATGGAGTCTTCTGTGCAAAATTTGTCCTTGAATATATGCCTGTGTTAATAATTATCTGAAGCTTACCCCACGTATCTCACGACACTCAAATCGGAATTTAAGTTCATATTAATCATGGTTTCTTAGATTTGAATTCAGAGTTAGTTGTGGATTATCCAGTTGTATAACGTTTACAGATACAATATCAAATGTATCTTACGATTCAACTCGGATCTAATCTTTGAATTAAAATCTGAATGTCACATGGAACAAGTTTCAAGTGACAACTATTAATATAGACCTTAGAGTTAGATCGGACTCCTTCACTTGAATCACGTGATATACGCGACATCATAATAGCAGTATAATAATAGCAGTTCCATTGAAAAACTCACGGTCTCACTTTAAACTTCAAATATAAATGTTTCACTTGAGACAAGTTTCAAGTAACGACTAATGAAACACCAGCCGCCCTGTTGAAAATTTCCAGGTGGATTCCCATGGGAACTCATGTGAATCCACAAGAATAGAATAATAAAAATCCATATAAGAATTCGCACGGTGCGTGGAAATCCATCTAGGAATCCGCGAATTCCTATCTAGAACTTGGAGTTTTGGCGCGAATCTCAACGGGCAACCATGAGATTCCATATGGATTTCCTATACGAATTCCCACCTGGTTTTTTTCTCAACAGAGCGTAGAGTCTCATTTGCGAGATACGAACGTTCCGAAAAGCACAATGCAGCGACAAGTGTGGAATTCTTCCGAAGGTACCTTGCTCCGAGGTATCTCTCACACATCTGACGAGATTCGTACACATTGTTACACGACAGAAAGGAAGTTGAAAGTGCAAAGCACCGGCGATAGTTCGCGAAACGCGCGGTCTCCGCCCACGTGCAAGCACGCACGCACCGGCGGGGGGGGGGGGGGGGGGTTAAAATTCGCCGACTGGTTTCCCCGAGCGACGACGGTTTACTCTCCCCGAGACTAAACTCCCGCGGCCGAGGAGAACCTCGCAAAGGCGCATAAAGGGAAATAAAGCGGCTTAAACTCGCGAGCGGAGGTAGCGCCCGGCTCTCTGCCGTTGTAATCGAGCTGCCGTTGTAATAACCAGGCTCTCACAAACCGAGCCACGTATGTGTGCGAGACGTCGCTCGGTTTCCCGGCGCATTCCTTCGGATTCGAGTGGGTATCGCGCGAGCGTTCGCGAATCGCGACAAGATTTACGTACCTCGGGAGAAACGCGGAAGAGCGCCGACCGTCCTACCTGTTTTCGTTTCATCCTCGCCAGTGACGCTCGATATATTCGTTACCGTCGAGCGGGCGGACGGACGGACGGATGGAAAGCGCCGACAGAACTTCGCCGGAACAGAGTAGCACTTAAAATAGTCGCGCGGTTATCGTCGACATACTTCGAGAGAGAGAGAGAGAAATGAAACCGAAGTCAAATTGAAAACCAACACCGACGTGAATGCGCGCTCGATTGTGTGCGAAGTTTCTGCTCGGCGCCCGCGATATATTCTCCTTATCCGCTTCTGATCTATTTCTTCCGCGTGGACCTGTGTATGTAGGATGACTTATCCGACTTTCGCCCGGAGCCCCCCCCCCCCCCCCGAGTTATCATACNTCTTTGGGCTTCGAGTTTTATCATCGTTTCTACGGGTCGCGCGAATTTTCACTTGTCGCGCGTTTGCACCTGTGCGAAACGGTGTGTCGATTTTCCTAAAAATAATCAAAAAATAAGGTTGATGCGAATTTCAAAGAAACCTTCGATTCGTCCGTACATTATATTCATTTTTGCACGCGAACTCGGGCAATTCGATCGACGATTGCGTTTCTTTTTTTTTTAATATCGTTTTGTATTTTATATCGAGGTCCAAAATTTCGGTGGGAAATGAAGTCGGGAAACGGTGACGAAGACAATTTCAGAGAATAATATTCGCCGCTCGATTAACGACTCGATCGATACGTGATGGATTCATCCACTCGAGCGGTGAAACGCGCGGACCATTATCGGATAAGAGTATACGGCACGTTCCAGTGTGACTTCTAATCCTCTCGTGTCGCGACTTATCATTTAAATGAGTATTGCTGGCCTTTCAAAGCGCATGCTTACCGCGCCGTTAGAAATCACGAGCTCCTTCGCGTCAAATCAACCGTTTGTGTTTCACAATTTTTAACTTTGGCGTACACCCTTAGTACGCGCAAACATATGTTGCGTACGTACGCATCGGAAACCGGCGTTAAGTGACGCGATCTTTGACTTCGCATACACGCGTATTCATTATCTCGTTCGTTGGAGGACCAATTTGTTGCGAGCACGCGGTAGTTAACGAAGAGAGAAGCCCGTCTCGAAGCGAGAAAACTTCCGTCTTGCGTGTTCACGAAACTTCGAGTCTCTTTTTATTACATTATCATGCATTCAATTAAAAAAAAAAAATACCAATTGACATATTACAATCTGTATAAAATATGTCATTAATACGTGAATACAATTAA